CATAGCTGGTCAAGATCCACACAATCAAAAAGCCTTTGAATAGTCATTAAAGCACAGATAAGCATCAGATAAGCATCATTTTGATAGTCTCTGCTTTCATTCAAAATACATCTGACATCAGCAATAATATCCCTTGAATTTCTTACAGTTCTCTGCCAGTGTATTTATTGTTGGAGTTGTTTTTGAATTCTCTAAAACAAATTTTTACCAGCATGTGATATTAATGGTATGTTTGGATGATTTCCACATTCTGTTGGGTCAACTCTTCCAAATTTCTTGGCATAGATGAATGAGAGTCTCCCGTACTGCATCAGCTTGTTGAAAGATTTCAATTTGTATTCCATTCATTACTGGACCCCTTTGTTTTTCACCAATGCCTTCAGTGCCGTTTCAACTTCTTCCTTCAGTACCATAGATTCTTGATCATATGCTATCTCTTTTGATGCTTTCGGAATCATTCAATATTTTACCCATTACATATGCAATTCAATTGAATTTTTTCTGCAAGTTATTTTCAGTTTGAGAATGACTGAGCCTGTTCTTCCCTTTCATTGTAATACTTTGTCTTCTCGAGATGCCCTTTGAAATTTTTGGTTCACCTTTTTACTTCCTCATTTCTTCCATTTACTTTAGCTTCCTGTATGATGTTCTTGATGTCATCCCACAGCTCTTCTGGTCTTCATTCATTAGTGTGTAATGCATCAAATCTGTTCTTGAGATGGTCTCTAAATTCAGGTGGGATATATTCAAGGTCATATTTTGGCTCTCATAGACCTGTTTTAATTTTCTTCAGCTTCTGCCACAACTTGCCTGAGTAGTTGATGGCCTTCTTTAGAGTATATCCCTGGCCTTGTTTTGGATGATAATATTGAGATTCTCACAGTCTGTTCCACAGATGTAGTCAGTTTGCACATTGGACATTTCTTTTTGGTGCAGTGACTGTATACTTTTTTTTTGATGCTATCTTCATCATTCAATATTTTCTCCATAGAATCCTTCAAGATTTCAAGTAGAGGTTTTATTTTTTTATTAGCTCCGCTGAACATGCTCTTTCTTTTTGGTTTTCTGATTCCAGGTCTTTGCACATTTCATTATAATATCTGACTTTGTCTTCTCGAGCTGACCTTTGAAATTTTCTATTCAGCTCTTTTACCTCTTCATTTCTTCCATTTGCCTTAGCACCTCTGGAGAGCAAGTTTCAGAGTCTCTTCTTACATCCATTTTTGTCTATTCCTTCTTTCTTGTCTTCGTAATGACCTTTTGGGTTGTTCCTGTATGATGTTCTTTATGTCATCCCACAACATTTCTTGTCTTCTGTCATTAGTGTCTAATGCATCAAATCTGTTCTACAGATCTCTAAATTCAGGTGGGATATGTTCAAGGTCATACTTTGACTTTTGTGGACTTGTCTTAATTTTCTTGAGCTTCAGACTGAATTGAGCAATTGATGTTGTTCCACAGTCTTCCTCTGGCCTCATTTTGGCCGATGATATAGAGCTTTTCCACTGCCTCTTTACACAGATGTAGTCAATTTGATTTCTGTGTATTCCATCTGGAATTCCATTTTATATTGTTAAAAAAGGTATTTGCAATGAAGAAGTCACTGGTTTTGCAAAATTCTATCATGTGATCTCCAGCATCATTTCCTCTAACCAATATCATATTTTCCAACTACTGATCTTTCCTCTTTGTTTCCAACCTTGCATTCCAGTAGTCAGCAATTGTCAATGTATTCTTGATTGCATGTTTGATCAATTTAGTTTTCAGAAGTTGGTATAATTCTTTGATTTCATCATTACTTGCTGTGGCGGTTCAAATCCACCAGCTACTCCTTAGAAACCCTCTACAGGGTCACTATAACTTGGAACTAACTCAATGCCACTTTAACAGCCCCATCAGTTATAAGAAAAAGTGCCCTACTAGTACAGTAGGTTAATGGTTTTCTTGTTTTGTTTTAATTGTGTTGGTTCAGTTATGAGAAAAGTATAGGCTAAGGATAATCACCTGACTACTGATTTTGAATATGTTTAAGTGCATTCTATGGTGTTGTAGGTTAATGTTCTGGACTGCAAAGTTGGTCTGAACCGCAAGGTTGGTGGTTCAAATTTACCAGTCACTCCTAGGAAACCCTATACAGGGTCGCTATGGGTCAGAGCTGACTCAATGGCATGTAACAACAGCTGCTACCATCCAACAAGTGCTCTGTATTTGTCTTAGACTCACTAATCAGGTGAACATCGAGGGTTGACATTATACCCTGTCATACTGCTTTTGCTATGATTAAACATAAATATTAATCATGAATATTTAAAAATGTTTTTTAAATAATGCTTTGGGAGCTCTTTGTTTTATAATATCAATACCACAAAGGTGCTATGTCATATACTTGTTTTTAAGCTCCATCAAGTTAATTCTAATCCATAGCAACCCTGTATAGGGTTTCTGAGGAGCAGCTGGTGAGCTTGAACCACTGCCCTTGCAGTCAAGTGCTTGCCTTACAACACTACACCAGGACTCCATGTCATACATTAGGGGATCTTCAAAAAGTTTGGAAAAATTCCACTATCTTTTAATTCCATTTTCCACAAACTTTTGGAAGCCCCCTTGTATATATACATATGGTCAAACCACTGCCCATGAGTCACTTCCTATTCATAGAGACCCTATAGAGCAGACTAGAAATCTTTATGGGAGCAGAAAGCCTCATCTTTCATTAGCTGGTGGGTTTAACCTATCAACCTTGTGGTTTAATGCTTAATCCAGTATGCCTCTTAAGTATATAGCTAAATATTATCTATATTTCAGTCAAAATATGAACTTTCTAAGAATTATATTACTTTATATTTACAGGTCTCAAAACTGAGCTGGATTGAGAAAAAAATGGCTGCTACTCTGTTTGGAAAAATCCCATCCTCAACTACGAGAGAAGCTTTGGACAACTTCCTTAAGGTATATTTTGTGTATCTAATATTTTAGTGGCAAGCTGGCTGTGATCAGCACCAGACCCTGCTACCCTTGTTACCAGGAAATCATTCTCCTCTCTACATGTAGACCTCTGACTGAAGCCCCAGTTTGTATTCTAGTTCTGGTGTGTTCTGTTTTAAGTGTAGAGAGTGCTTAGCTTAGCATCTAGTAAGTGCTCTGGGATTTCACCTCATTAAAAATGAAACACTTTATTAAATCCCCTTGGGGATCCTACACTATTTAGCTGTGATTCAGATTCTATCAGAGAGTGTATTCCCTGGTGTTTGTCAGAAAGAAGCCAGAGGCATGAGGATTATGCCTTCCATAATCATTTACTGTAATTACGAGGATCGAAGCTGTGGAGAAAATTGAAAATCTGGGAGTTGTAATGGAGAGTCTGTAACCTCCAGTCTCCATCGGAATTCATGTTCTTGGGACCCGGACTGTAGTCTCCTACCCCCTAACTCCTTCCCTCCAAAGAGACTTAGAGAGTGTTTGTCCAGAGCCATCCAACTCAGTCCTGTAGAGGCCAAGAGCACTGGCTTTAGAGTCAAGCAGCGGAGGTTTGACATCTGAGCCCTTTTCCTATCTTCATTTGTTAATTTCTCCTATTCTGAATTTATTAATCTGTGAAGTGGACAGAAGTAGTACTTATTCTGTAAGCTTTCTGTGAAGATTACGTCTCATTTTCTTGGCCCCTAAATCTAGAATATGAAGCATGCTGGCAAAAAATAAAGTTAGCTATTATTATTATTTGCCTTGCCCAGTGGGTAAAATCTGGGTAAAATGAGCATCCAGGGATGTGGTTTTGGACCAGGTATCTTATATGTACCCCTGTAGGAAATTTTCCAACTACAGCTTGTTTCCCATTTCATCCAAAATTTGAGCACAATTCTTTCAGTCAGTGTTTCTCAACCTTGGCTATACAGTAGAATCATCTGGGAGCTGTGCAATATTCGAATCCAGGCCACAGTCCATATTAATAAACTAAGACTCACTAGGACTATGATCCCACACCAGCATTTTGTCTAAAAGGTGCACCTATTAAAGTGCGTTGTGCAATGGGTATGACAGTGTGTACACCCCATGTCACCACTGCCATTTCAAGATATAGTTCATGTCTGTCACCCCAAAGAGTTATGCGGCTCTGCTGTCAGTTTCCCTACTGCCTGCTCTTGGCAACTACTGATCTATCTCCTCTCTAGCACTATAGATTTTTTTTTTTTTTTTCAAACATAAACCATTCATCTGTTTTGTTTGTTTGCATATGATTGACAAAGGTTCGGTAACATGCATGTTAAATTGTTAATAACAGTTAGCCTTGGGAAATGAGATTGAAGTTGAGGATAAAATTAGAAGCAGGAACTTTCATTTTTTAATTTGGGAGATTTCTGTATGATTAGTACCTTATAAAGCAAACAGTGTTTGGTAAAAATTTTAAGTATCCAATGTCTTTAGGGTTGATAGATAAAATGTGGCTTTGAAATTGTCACTTATTAAAATCTGCAAGTAGGTTTGCTGTTGTTATTGGCCTTCAGGTCAGTTCTGGCTCATCGTAACCCCATGAGTATCATCGGGTTTTCGATTACTATTGCTAAATTTTTGACAGTAGACCATTAGGCCTCTCTCCCAAGGCAGCTCAGGGTGAGCTCAAACAAACCAGCCTTTCAGTTAGCAGCCAAGCTCACCACCCACACACTCCTAAATACTGCTCTACCAGGTAACTAGTTACCACAGAGTCAATTCTGATTCATGGTAACCCCAGGAGTGCAAAGTACAACTGCTCGATGAGGCTGGTCAGGCTTTGACCTTTCAGATGCAGATAGTCAGGCCTTTCTTCTGAGGTATCTCTGGCTGAGTTCAAACCATCAAGTTTTCAATTAGTAGTCAAGGTAGGTATGTATCATTTTTAAAAAGCTCTAACATGTTTCATAAGTCTATCTTTCCTTTTAAAGTACTTGAAATGATGGACTTCATGTACTATTCAACTTGCAATGTTCTTAAGTTGTAAGAAATCAATTAGTAATCTAATGGAAGATAACTTGCTACGGGATACCAGTAGACTGTGGAATAGATAGGACTTGTCCTTGGGAAAACATATCACTGATTGTTTTCATTCTGGAAAGAAGACAAAAGAATAGTGAAGTAGAGAAAGAGGTGAGCCAAAAGACTCCTGAAACCTTAAACTGTCTCATTGCATTGTAAGCTTTATGACCATAATAATCAACTCCATTGTGATGGGTAAATTTTAAAGCTCTTAATGTTTTTACCCCAAAGATACTTGAACTGACAAAATCAGATACGAACCAGCCAAAGTAAATTCATAGGGCAACTTGGTTAATAATACTTGATTTATTGAATTACATTCTTTTTATTTGCTGAGACTGTTATTTTAATATTGTCCTGTTATGCTCTTGTCTATCCTATCTTTAAATCAGACTGAAGAACTACACCCTGGTTACTCCAAGTCCAATTACATGTATTTGGCAAAGGTAATGAAGACCACTGTTTTAAGATTATTTTGAATCCCTTTACTTTGAAGTTTGATTACCTTTAATATTGACTACCTTTTTTCTCTAGTGTTATATAGATCTTGACCAAAAAGAAGAAGCTTTGAAGGTCTGTAATTTGGCATTGCCACTTTCTTCTGTTACCAAAGAGGTAAGTCCCAATAGTAACAATGAGTGTTATCTTCCTGGTCCTATTTCAAGCTTAAAATATGAACAACTGAATTAGATAAATTTAAATTTTTCTTTTTTATTAAATCATTTTTACTTACATTTTACATTTACCATGAAGGAGTCATAGTTGGGTGGCACAAACAATTAAGCATTTGACTACTAGCCTAAAGGTGAACAGTTCAGACCCACCCAGAGTCACCTTGGAAGACAGGTGCTGGACTGCAAAGTCAGTACAACTGCAAGGTCAGTGGTTCAAGCACACCAGTTGCTCCTCAGAAACCCTAGGAGTCAGAATCGACTCGACAGCACTTAATAGCAAGTAAGATGATGAGGTGTTGTAGAAGAGTACAGGAGTTACCATGTGGAGATGGGCTGCAATTGTAAGGAAGCAAAGTGAGAATACAATAAAGGTGACTAATGCTATAGTGCAGCACTTAGGTGACGGCAAAGAGGCTGAAGAGGAGGCAGAGTCAACAGATGTGTAGCTAGGATTTTTTGTTAAGATTTGGAGATTATCAAGGAAGAAGATAGATGGAAGGATGATATCTAGATTTCTATCTTGGGAAACTGAGCCCGGTAGATGAAGGTTACTTTTTGGTACAGGGAATCATGGAGAATCAGGTTTGGTGGAGATGGTGAATTTAGTTTTGTACATGTTGCATGTGTGCTTGTAATATTTCCAACTTGGTAAATGACTGCATACATAGCATCAGTATGGAAGTGGCCACTCATAGAAGTTTAGAGTATGTGGAAGGCAGAGAGCTGAAAATCAACCCTTGAGGAGCACCAACATAGCTGGATGGTGGGAGAAGAGGAATCTCCAAGTGAGACTGCACAGCAGTGAGGAGGAGACATTGCTCAGAGGCCAAAGGATGAGGAAGTGGTCACCACTACCAGAGACTGTCAATAAGCCAAGAAAGCAAAGGTCTGAAATGAACCCATCAAGTGTGAACTATCTGGATTGTTTCAGTGAGTGACACACACAGGTCAGACCAGAGTGCAGAATATTGTTAGCTGCCATCAAGTCAGTACCGACCCATAGTGACCTTATGCACAGCCGAACGAAACTGCCCAATCCTGGGCCATGCTTGAGTCCATCGATGCTGCCACTTGGCTAATCTGTCTTGTTGAGGGTCCTCCTCTTTTTCTCTGACCCTCCACCTTGTTGTTGTTGTTGTTAAGTGCCATCAAGTTGATTTTGACCCATAGCGACCCTGTATAGGGTTTCCAAGAAGCAGCTGGTGAGCTTGAACCACTGACTTGGTAGTCTGACGCATTAGCCCACAGTGCCACACCAGGACTCCACCTTACCAAATATGATATCCTTTTCCAGTTACTGGTCCCTCATGACAATATGTCCGAAGTATGAGAGATGGAATCTGGCCATCTTGGCTTCCAAGGAGCACTTTGGCTGCACTTCTTTCAAAACGGATCTATCTGTTGGTTCTTTTGGCAGCCCATGGCACTTTTAGTATTCTCCAACACCATAACTGCCCAGCTTTCGCATCCATATGAGGCTACTGAAAACACAATGGCCTTAGTCAGGCGCACCTTAGTCCTCAAGCTGACATCTCTGCTCTTCAACACTTTAAAAAGTTCCTGTGCAGCAGATTTGCCCAATGCAATACGTCATTTGATTTCTTGACTGCTGCTTCCATGAGTGTTGATAGTTGATCCAAGAAAAATGAAGTCCTTGACAACTTCAATCTCTTCTCCGTTGATAAGAATGTTGTTTATTGGTCCAGTGGTGAGGATTTTTGTGTTCTTTACATTGAAATGCAATCCATACTGAAGGCTGTGCTCTTTGATCTTCATCAGTAGATGTTTTAAGTCCTCTTCACTTTCAGCAAGCAAGGTTGTTTAATGAGTCTTCCTCCAATCCTCATGCCACATTTTTCTTCATATAACCCAGCTTCTCGTATTATTTGCTCAGCATACAGTTTGAACAAGTATGGTGAAAGAATACAACCATGTCGCACACCTTTTTTAATTTTAAACCATTCAGTGCTCCCATGTCCTGTTCTAGAGTACAAAATAGGGGCTAGTAATTAGTAAATGCATTCGCTGTGTCTCAACACCCTTCCAAAGACTTTGATGTAGAAGGGAGAGGAGGGATGAAAGGTGAAAATTAAAGGGATGTTGATTTGAGGAGTAGTGTATTTGAGATGAGAAATATGGATGCCATTAATTTAAGTGATAATAGGAAAGGGCCTCTACGAAAGGGTTGAAGAAAGACTGTCCCGAAAGGAGGAGAAGCACATGGGTTTATAGATTTGTAGTGATCCAGTGTGAATACCAGAGAGGATTAAATGAGTGTAGGCTTTTGTAAAAGAGTGGATTTGGAACCTAAGGTAAGCAGCAGAAGGCTGAAAGAGCAAACTAAGGAAAAAATACTAGCCTTCCATGATGTGACCACCTAAATTGTATTCTTGCTTCTATTTTTATAAGCACAAACTCAGCATGTCTAAAATTGAACTTACCTTCTCCATCAACCAGGGCTGTGACCTCAGTAAGGAGATTAGGGTGGGATGCAACACCCTTACTGAGGTCACAGCCCTGATCTGAGTTTAGGGCATCTCCCCTGGGGTGTAGCCTGTGTTAATTTTTATTTTACAAAAGAGAAAAGAAGAGAGAAGTGTGTAGAGAGATGACCTGACTAGCAGCAAGAAAGTAGACACCAGAACAGAGTGCATCTTTGGGACCTAGGGTCCCTGTGCTGAAAATCTCCTAGAGGAAGATTGACGTCAAGATCTCCAAGGGACTGTGACCACAGATGTTGAAAGAAGACAGGACTCTCCCCAGGACTCTCCCCAGATCTGACAAAGAAAGCTTTTCCCCTCCATGGATTTGGATTTCTAGCTTCCTAAACTGCACTGGACTGCTAACCACAGCAATTCAAACCCACCACCTGCTGCTTGGAAACCCTATACAGGGTCACTGTGAATCGGAATGGACTTGATAGCACTTAACACCAAACAGGAAGAAAACACCTTTCTGTTAGATCCACTTCTGATTTTTCTGTTATTGCAGCACTAGGTAACTAAAGATGAATATATCAAAGATAATTAATGACCAGAAGGACATCCATGTGGACAGTGACAAAATAAAATGTACTTAGAAGGTGTTAGTTTGAGCTGGCTTTTTAGTGGTTGGCAATCCAATGGCTTATCCTACATTGCCACACCAGCACATGAAAAATAGACCTGGGGATAGCCTGCAATGGAGATGAAGATGAGAGGTATGGAACTTCTGGGACAAGATGGTAACATAAGCAGATGCACTGAGCCAACCCTCTCTAGCAAAGACATGGGACATCAAGTGAAGCAGATACAGATGGTGATCATGGAACCCGGAGTTTCAGAGTAGAGAAGCATTGAGTGCCAACTGAAGAGCACCAATTGAAAAATGGGCGGACTGTCAACTGACCTAAAGTGTGGCAGTCATCTTGAACTTTTGCAAGCAATTGAAGACTTAGTGGGTACAGGACCTGGTTGGAGGTTGGAAGCAAGGGGAATGCAGTTCTCCCTTGTTCCATGTGCTCCTGGTAGCCAGGGTCATGACCAATCCCCATCCTTGCCAACCCAGTGGCACTCCCTCCTGCATTGCCTCTACTCTGCTTATAGTCAGGTATCAGGTGTGTGAACCTGCCCTGAACTACACTACATGAACAGCCAAGAGCGAAAAACACATTCACATTTCCAGTCTTTATCACATCTGCCAGGAGACAGTTGTGAGAGCCTGAAACCACACCAACATACAGTCATCAATTAAATATAAATACATTAACACCACAATGTCTTAGAAAAACAATTTCAGGTTACACAAAGAAACAACACAGAATGCCTCAATCAAGTAATCAAAACAGAACCAGACTATGTAATACCAGAAATGATAACAGAACTATTAGATAAGGAATTTAGAAGAATGGTATTTAGGTAACTTCAGTGTATTGAGAGAAAGGTCAAGAAGAACACAGAAACAACTTTAAAGAATTTAGGAAAGCAGTACAAGAACAAACTGACAAAATAAAAAAAATTGGAAACCATATAAAAACAGCAATTAGAAAGCCAGAAGATGAATACTAAGACTTCAGGTGATATATTGAAATGTCAAAAATATAAAATCGAATCAACAGAAGGTCGAATTATGGAACTTGATAAATCTGTCAGTATTTATCTGTTGGAATCATTATATGGCACTATAGGATAAGTACTAGACTGCTGAACACATATGGCACTATAGGATAAGTACTAGACTGCTGAACACAAGGTTGGTGGTTCAAATTTATCAGTCAGAAACAACTCCAAAACACTTAACAAAGTCCTGGTGTAGCATTATAATATAAGCACTAAAAGATGGGTGATTCAAACCCACCAGCCACTCCATGGAAACCTTATACATGGTCATTATGAATCAGAACCAACTTGACAGAATATAACAAAGGAACAATCAGAACAAAGATTTAAGAATCAGAAGAAAGCCTGAGGTTTATGGGGGACATTATGAAGAGGACTAATTTAAGTGTGATTGGAATTACAGAACAAGAGACATAAAACAACAACAACAGGAAAAAAACCTGAAAATTATCAAGATTTGTTTGAAGAAAACTTCCCTATTATTAAAGACATGAAGCTAGGCATTCGATGGAGGAGGGGCTTGATGGCAGATTAGGGAGCAGTGTGGTGCAGACCTCCGTCAGCAATAACAGAATACCAGATGAAACGGGTTGAGGGGGCGGTCCCAGAACTCAGACCTGCATATAAAAGAATATTTTGAAAGTTCAAAGGCTTACAGCCAGTGGAATTTGTAGCAGAAGCAAGAAAAGTAGTGTTTTCTGATTGGTGGCAGCCAGCTGGCTCCCAGAGTAACCATCTTGGGCATGACAGAGCAGGTGAAGGATCAGAGGACCACTCCCACCATAGAGGTCCAACCAAACCTTGGAGATAAAGATGTGGATTTTTTTTCTCTCACTGTTCATTG